CTGATGCCTGAGAAAATCAAGTGCAAGCAATTTTCTGTTAGAATCACAGAACTTCAAATGCTTCTACCTTTCATTCCTTTAAGAAGTAAACAATACAGAGACGAGCAAGCAGAACTCTCTCTCTCTTCCTCTCTCTCTCTGTGTATAGTTTTTTTGGTAAAAACTAACAAGCCCTAATAAGATGCAATGCACATAGCCCAAAGGTGTTTTATGTAACACGACAAATAAAAAGACCCAGAGAGAGATATTGGGGTTCAAGGTGAAGATCAGGCAAGCAAAGCACCCAAGCTACCAGAGATCTCTTAGTTCCTGTTCTCAACCTGGCTGGAGAATGAATGTTTGAGGCTGAGACCTTGTCTGCCTCTTTAGTGCAGAAATTAAAGGTGTGAGATCTCAGGTGCTGACAACTTTATGTGAGCTGTTTCTCTTTAGGATGGATCAATCTTGTGTAGATCAGTGTGTTCTTGGACTCACAGAGATCCTTCTACCTCTTAATCCTGAGTCCTAGTATTAAAGGTGTGTATGCATCACCACCTTCTAGTTCCTTGCTTCTGAGATTAAATGTGTGTGACTGCCTTCTATGCCTTGTGGGTGACTTTGCTTTCTGTCCCTGTTTCCTCAAAATGTTGGAATTACATAGTGTAAACTATACTGCTGAAGCTTGATGATAACTTTGTGTGTGTGTGTGTGTTATTTGAGATTGTGCTAAGCAAGTATCTACTACCGAGCTAATATCCTAGCCATGCTTTATTCTAAGACCTTCTTAAATTACTTAGGCTTAAATTACACAGGCTTTAAACTCTCCATCGTGTGACCTCTGCCTTCCAGATGCCTAGGTTTACAGGTACCTGTTGCCACTCTGACTTGTAAGTTTTGCTATCATTGTTTTGAGATAGGGTTTCATTCTGCATGCAATTTAGATTAGCTTGGAATGCTCTCTGTAGTCTAGGCTGATCTCTCTTGCCTCAGCTTTCAAACTTTTAAGTGTTAGGCTTAAAAGTGTGAACCACCACAGTTGATTCGGTAGATAATATTGATCACTAGATGTGTCTTCGTTTTAGTTTTAAGAACTTCTGTGTTTTTGTAATTAGTATTGATGATAGTCTACACCATTCTATCTACTAATTTGATAGATAGTGACAATTTGTTTGCCTTCCTGGATGCCTAGTTTCCTGTAGTGTGTGGACTTTACACTTGCCTTACTTTCCTGACCGTTAATACGTGTATTCAAACATTCCTTTAAATTTTTTAAACAAGTACTTTCATATACTTGGTGCAAAAGGGTATCCTTTGCCTGTTAAACTAAAGAATCTGTTAAAGAATCATCTGGGCTACCAATTAGATTTGAAAATTGTGAGGTTTTTTTTTTCTTTTTATTATAGTCAGATATTTGAAATACTTAATTTTCTAGCAAAATTAAAGCAACTTAGTAGAAAAAGCTAAAATTATAGATACTGTCCTGTGTTCATTGCTTATTTTTTTTCTCACTGTTGTGATAAAATACACAAGAAAAGCAACTGAGGGGAGGAAGGGTTGATCTCGGCTCTGTTTGAGGTCATCCATCACTGTGGTGAAGGTATGCTATAGGAACTTAAAACACTTGGGTCACATCACATCCAGAATCAGGATAGAGAGAGACATGAAAACCGATGCTCAACTCATCTTCTTATTCAATCCAGAAGCCATGTACATGACATGGTATAGACCATGTTTAAGAGAGGTGTTCCCACCCAAGTTAACTCAGCCTAGAAGCTCCATCACAGACACCCTAGAGGTGTGTCTCTATGGTGATTCTAAGTCCTGAAAATCAGTACAGTCCATCACCACATGCAGAATCAGATTGCAAATATGTGACCCGTATGAAGCACAGGAAGATAAATGTGTCCCTTTCTTAGCACTTGTTTACAGATAAAGTAACGCATTTGTTTGAGATGGGGTCTCAAACTCAGGCAGCCTTGAACTCACTTATATAGCTGCTGCCAGCCTTGAGCTTCTGCTTGCCCGACCTCCACGTCTTCCCTGCTAGGGTTACTTGTAGACTGCCATTGCCTGATTTGTATAGTGCTGGGAATCCAACCTAAGGTCTCCTGCATTCTTGGCAAGGACACTAGCAGCAAACCCCTCACATCTGCAACTCCCTCTCTTGCTCTTGTGCTCCAGCGAGAGCCCATCCTGTGAAGGTCTCAGCATGTAGACTGTCACGAAACTCCTTCCCTGAAATCCCATCCTGAGAACTTGAATGAGACGTACTCCAGACTGCATGCTATGGCTTAGTGACCCTGTATGTGGAATCCTGTTCATCTCTGTGATTGCAACTTCATCCTGTCTTCTTTGCATCCATTCACCTGACAGGGTTATTTGTAGTTGGTAAATACCATGTTTATTTATTGTTCTGTTTTCTGTACTGAAATCTCCAATAAAGTGTGTGTGTGTGTGTGTGTGTGTGTGTGTGTACACTTTAGTTCTTACTGTGCTCCAATTTCCCTGCTTTTACATGAGGCTGCCATGCTTGGTTTTATTCTCTTATTATTTGTGTATTTTAACAATATGTCAAATAGAATGTATTATATTTACTTGTGTGTGAGTGTGTTTGTGTGTACACATGCACTCACACTCATAATTTCGGTAGGGCCACATGCATGCTGCTTATGTATGTGTGGAAGTCAGTAGACAACTTCCATTTCTCCTATGACATGGGTTCCAGGGATCAACTTCATATCTTCATACTTGGGAGCAAGCGCCTACAATGGAGTTGATCTATATCGCTGTACTGTTTAAAACCTTACTTTCCTTACACAGTACAATCCTGCTGTTTAGTATCACTCCTCCTTTAGAGGATGACGTGTTAGGTTTTCATTGCTATGATAAACACTGGAATAATTCTAGATGTTAAATGGTTGACTTCTAGTATCAGACCATGGTTGGCTCCTTCCATTGCTGTGAGCCTGAGGCAGGGCAGAAAATTATAAATTATAAAGGGGGCATGTGACAGAACTAAGGAGCCCACCTTATGTTGGAATGGAAGCTAAGGAGGACAGTGGAAGGGACCAGAGTCTCAAAATACTCAACAACATATATTTTCAATGAGGACCCCCTCCCACACTTTGACCATCTCCCTACAGTCTGTTCCCATTTGAGGTCTTTGGTTAGGTCAGAGTCCTCGTCACATTATCACCAGAAACCTTGGCAGGCAGACTCAGAAGTGTGCTTTAGTAACATGTGGGTGTGTCTCAGTGTAATCAATCTGACCATCTAGAGTAACTATTACCTTGAATTGTTTTCCATCCTGTGGGCCCGATCCTAGTAATGCTGTTGGCATAAAAGGGAATTGACAGGTATAGGAATACATTTCCGATGGAGTAAATGAACATACAAATGTGTATACACATATTCTGAATCTATAGCTAGTTATGCCTGCTATTGACTAGAGGGACAGTTGTTAACTATTGTTTAATTAAGACATAAGCACTTAATGAAAATTGCATTTATTTCTATGGTAATATATATTAAACTCTTCACATTTAGTATATTCTGGCTGCAATTTCTCTAGCATCTTCATTTGGGGATGTGATTTAATTGCTTTTTCATTGTGTAAATTAATATTTGGACACTTTTTCAAGAGTAAATGCAATGTAACCTATTTTCATAATCCTTGATTGAAGCAGAATTTTGAGAGGGATGAAGTGGCTTGGAAACAAGACTGAGTATTAGGAATTTCTGCAGGGCCATACTATATTAATTTGAAGATGAAGGATACTAGGTAAAAAAAAAATGGAGTATTTTTGTCAATTAACTTAGAATATGATTTATTGTTTTTCTGTCCTCATTTACAGTTTATTTGGTAATATTTCCAATGTTTCTTTTTCTAAACTGAATGATAGAATTCTCTGAACTCGTGATGCCATCGAGCACTTCAGTGCATGAAGGTTGCTTTGCAGGTAAAGGTGAACCTAGGATGAGAATGTTAATTAGAGGATAGGGCAGGCTTAGGTCAATCCGTTTTGGATTGGAATTTCTGCTTCAGAATTAACCTGACACATTCTTTAATGCTTCCTCATCTGTAGATTAAGTGTCAGCTTCATGTGTAGATCTATGTTGTGAACATTTATGAGATGTCACATGTCAAGCATGAAACAAGACATGTGGTCCTTTCCATTTGTTGGGAGATAATTATGAGTTCAGTGTCATCTTTTTGCTGTGGAAGCATTTGCAGGTTGACAGGTCTGTTTCCTCTCTAGATAATGAAAGGACACAGGGCCCATTATATTTAGTAGCTAAGGTTAACTGAGGAGTCTTAAGTTAGAGACACACAGAAAAGTTGGAGAGATTCTCTGTTTTTGATGCATAAAATCTGATACTTCAGACACCTTTGATTGTTCTAGTATTATACTCAGTACGCACCTTGTCAGTGGGCACAAACCTTCTCATTCCCATCTTACTCTCCCTTTTCTAACAGATCTTGTATGCTTAATTATGCTCAGCAGTGTAACATTGTACTCATATGTCCTGATGCATATGAAGGTTCCTTGTAGCTTTGATCTTGTTTACTTTTCTTGTGCTTTTCATCTTTGAGTGTTCTGTGGCATTTATCAGTTCCTTCATAGTTGAATGAAATCTTGGGTTGTTTTAAGATGATGTCTTACTGCTTTCCAGTCCAGTAAGTACGCAATAATCTCGGACCACGAAGACCCCTACGGAAACTTGAAAGTACACAGAGTCTTTGTAGGTGATCTTAAGATAACGTTGTTCTTGGCGCTGTGATGAACTGTGTGTGTGTGCATCAGCTTTGAGCCATAATGATTGCCTTAATCATTTTAGACATCAAATGTGTTTAATCTCCTCGCTTGATGAAATATTAGAGTCAGAAGAAATAAATTTTCCCCATAAAATGTTTTATGAGGGATCTGCTCACCTCCTGTGGTACTTCCTGATAGATGGATATTAAGCCATATGTAACGGGATTGACACTCAGCCTGAATACTACTTTTTCTTTTTGCCAGCATGGGGTAACCTTGGAAATGTGTTGAAGAGTCAGAGTAAGATTGCTGAAGCTGAAAGCGCCTATAGAAACGCTTTGTACTACCGCAGCAACATGGCCGACATGCTGTATAATTTGTGAGTATGCCCTGCTTTTTCTGCTTAGAACCCTGCTGTGAGAATGGACAATTGAGTTAGTTAATGGGAATGGAGATATTGATACCTATTTTTTTGGAATAACTTTTTTTTTTTTCAATTAAGCCTCTGAGGTCAGTAAGTGAATGGTATTATTTATGATTTCCCTGTTTGAGGCCTCATCTATATTTAAATATATATTAGTGTGTGGTTGATTTTTTTTGAAATACTATGCCATATAACAAAGAGTTAGTATAAGTGTATTTTACTTAAAATATATGTTATACTTAAACTGAGTTGAATAACAGAATTTCAAAATTAAGCCTTTAATGTGACATGTGTAAATGACACATTGAATACTAAATGATACACCTCTCTTTCACTAAAACCGTGATTATGTCAAAGTATTTGTAGAATTTATAGTCAACCAGGAAGATAGCAGAAAGATTCTAGATGCTAGGTATAGTTTCTTCTTTATTCCCTAGCCTGTCTGTCTACTTCTTCAAAGAGACTTATGATTATAGGAAAGTTTGTGGAGTAGTGAAATTTGAAATATCCTTCAGTACTGACTTAGAAAAAAAAAATCTCAAGAGCTAATTCAACTTTGAAATATCTCTTGTGAATGGAAGTTTCCAAGAGGCATTGAGTTTGAGTTGGTAAATAAAAACTAAACTCGAATCCTTTCCGTTTGTCATTTACATTTGGGGCATTTTTATATGTAATAGAAGTGTAGCTGAAAGACAGGAGAGTTTCTGATTTATTGACTCCTGTAGCTGGGAACCCCTGGGGTTGCTCAGCTGCAGGAAGAGTTAACAGTAGGTACTTGGTGCTGTTTGGGAATTGGATGCAACCCCTGGGGTTGCTCAGATGCAGGAAGAGTTAATAGTAGGTGCTTGGTGCTGTTTGGGAATTGGATGCAACCCCTGGGGTTGCTCAGATGCAGGAAGAGTTAACAGTAGGTGCTTGGTGCTGTTTGGGAATTGGATGCAGTTTCAGTGTTCTGGTCTTTGTTTTCAGTGGGACTCTGAGATATGCAGAAGGTGGCCCCTTAAGCTTTATGCATGCGACATGCTGGCTTTTCTCAGTCTTTCTGGGATAGTTTGTTAATCTTGTGTCCTGTCCCTCTCCTCCCCACCTCCCAGTTCTCATCTGTCTTTTTGTCTGGACCATCCTGGAAAGTTTTCTCTGAATGACTCATGAAGCCATATGCTTTCGTGGATGAAATTCTAGGCAGAGTGGGTAGGACTGTGTAACACCTCTGAATGTTTGTTCAGAGTTGCTATAGATTCATGGAAGACCAGTTCCTTATAAGAAAGTAACCATGCTTGGTCAAAATTTGACACGTGCTTCTTGTGTTTTATGAATATTGCATAAGAAGTTATCAAAATCTCATAAGCTAGAAGATTTGAATACATTTATGTTCTTGTTAGCTAAATCTTTTTGGTATTTTAGTCTAAAAGTATTGGTAAATGACATATTATTAATGATAAAAATAGAGAAGTAGGCATTTAAAGTAAAACATAGAAAGAAGCTCTGTAGAATTTTGTGTTCTGATGTTTGCATTGACTTCACCCTCCTAGACTTTAACACTGGAATACAAATCTGTTGCTGTCTGATATGAGTATATCAGCAGGAAGATTTTGTGTGGACTTGGATCGGCTCTGATTTTTTTCCCCTTATCTAGAATTTCTTCTCATACAATAAAACCTTTGTACAATCTGCCCCCCCCCATGTGATTCACGCTTCTTTGGGTACATCTTCATCGTCTTCCTTGAAGTAGTGGAAATGTGTATCTCTTTTTTTAATGAAATATTGAATGACTACACTTAGATAGCATCTCAATACTTCTTCATTTAAATGATTTTCTGACTTTAATACTTGTGTAATAGTTTTATTTCATAAAAAGGACTATGTCAGTTTTAACATGTTTGTGTACACATGCTATCTCTATGTATGTATATATTAATATAGATAAATAGATGGATGGATACAGGTACATTTTAAAGGACCTTTTGCCTTACAGTTTGAGATAGAGTATTTTTCTTGTATATACAGAGAATGAAGTAAGCTTACCAATTACTGCTTCTGCACTGAGCTTATTTTCTCTGTTGGCCACATCCATAGCCTCTGGTTCATTATTCTTACCAGTGTCAAGTATCGTTCATATAGTCTGGTATGTGCTAGGCACGTCTTCCTCCATGATATTGTATCTTCAGTCATAAAGGCAACTGGTTAATAAGGCACTTACTCATCGGTGGCCCCTGTTGGGCAGAGGTTTAAAGCCAACACATTTTATCCAGCTTAAGCTTTACTGGTAACATAAAAGCACTCCAGTAGCCAATCCCACCCATCTCAGTTAGTGTTTCAAATGCCGCGATGAAACACCATGAACAGAAGGCAAACTGGAAAGGAAAGGGTTTATTTGGTTAACGTTTCCGTATCTTGGCTTGTCCATCCTACTTTGTTAGAACCAAGGACACACAAGCCCAGGGATGACTATATCCTCAATGGGCAGGGCCCTGCCCAATCAGTCACTAATTCAGAAAATGCTCTACAGGCTTGCCCACACCTCAGTCTTATGGAGACATTTTCTCTACTGGGGTACCCTTTCCAGGTGATTCTAACCTTTGTCAAGCTAGCTTAAAAGTAGGCAGCATACCGCCTCATGAGTAATTTAAAGAGTTCATCTCATAAGGACTCATGGGTGCCTGTGTAACAGAGAAAGAGCCTGAGTAGTGCTCCCGAAGCTGTACTAAGTTGTCTTCCCCGAAGAACTGGTTATTCTTTGATTTTCTTCCTAATCTAAATAGCTGAAATAATTTCTGTGTTCAACACAAAGTTGCATATAGTTTGAAAATGTCATGTGACTATCCGAGTAGATGAAGAAGCATAGATATCACTAAAACATACCACCAATGTCTAGGAAACAGTGGGCTATATAACTTACCTTGTTGAACAAATCCAACAATTATTTTTAAAAATGGTTATTTTTTTTCTGTGACTTAAAGTCAGGTATAAATAAAATGTAAGAAGATAATTTTATGGCCCATGATACAAATAAATGTGTATGTGTGTGTGTGTGAGTGTGTGTATGCAATAGCAAACCTTTTTCTATTGTTTTATACTAGTTCAAAAATAACATTTTCCTGTGACTAGTCTAGAAACTATTAAACAATCAAAAGTAAAATTAATAGTTTTCTTTTGATTTGTATAATCTATTTCCTTTGTATAATTTTCTCTGATGTCTAGGGAATACTTCTTGTTCTAAATCGGCCTTTAACAGGAAAAAGAAGAAAAAGACAAAACTCAAAAAGCAAAACTATATTTTCTCATTTATTCATTCATTCATTTTAGAAAAGCAAACCTAATGGTTTGCCATAGAAACACACTGACGACTTTTCCTATCATCGATTGGGAGTCTTCTCAAGGATGCTTTCTGATTCTGCCAGGAGATGTGATGCTCAGTGCTGACAAGTTGACCACCATGGATGACGTTCATGCTCAGTCCCCCATAACAAGGGTGGGGGACATGTTTTATGTTGACCGATTGAAACTGATGAACATTTATAAATTGGAAGGAAATACTGATGTTTCTTAAAGAACTTTAGAGGTTTTGAGAAATCTTCAGTATCTACATGTTCCTTTCCACTTGCATTGTAAATTAGCAAAAACTTTTTATGGCAGCTGAACTTTTAATTAGCAATATAATCTGCAGGCCTTCATAACTACATTAAAATATAAATAGCAGTTGCTGAGGTAATACCCCTCTACCAGATACAAGATGATTATAGGTGGTCAGATATAATCTTGTTACTAATTCCTGTAATTTTATTTTTATACTCATTTAAAAATACTAACCAATGATCTTAACTAGCACACCTGAATCTTGATTTGTGTAAGAATACAAGAGAAAGAGTGGTTTGGAAACTATTAAGTTAGAAGGCCCTAAGTGACATGGAGCTATGTATGAAGTTGAGTGGACATTGCCTCAAGAGATTGCAAAAGCTTGACAAATTTTGGGGGGTGTGCTCAGGGATGCTACCAAATGGCATCAGAGAGCTAGTCACACAGGGTAATGTTCTCTGTTTATAAAATGATATTTGAAAATGTCCAGGGCCACTCCCTGCAGTGGCAGTGGTGTGTGACAACATTCTTGTTTAGTTCTTTTATATGGCATCCCAATTGCTCTCTGAATGGAGTGAAAGGATGAGGCAAGTGAGACTTAGAGATGAGTAAGGTCACACCCATAATGAACTGTCATCTGAATATACATTCTTCTGACTCTGTGCCATTGCCACATTTGCACTCTTGATGGCCAGGCATAAAGTGAGGACCGACCCCACACAAACCCTTCAATATGCGTATTTCAAGTTCCAAAAATAAGTAATTCAAGTCCCCTTTACAGATAGAAATAAACTATTTGGAATTAAATCTAATAGAATACAGCAAGTTACTTCTATCACAGGGACTGACTTTCCTGACCTTCTGTCATAAAAACATGATTGCATTGGCAGCGGGACTGTGTGTCTGTGCCAAGTTTTGCTTTCAAGAAATGCTTCCAAAGCATTTACGTATCTGTTCATTATTGCATGTGATACGATGTCAGCCCTTGATTATAGAAATAGCCATGTAGTGTGAAGTTTAAGGTCATTTTGTGCTGTTCTTAGCAGACAATAGCATGTAGTATAGCTTATAGCCAACTCTTTATTCATATTTCCAAGTTGTTAACATTGCATGTTTCACCCAAGAAATTATTTTAAACTAGTTTTACCAGATCTGTGTTTGCATGTTGTCTTTCATTTTAGAGTATAACTTATTTTCAGAGACAAAACCCTTTGAGCTATTGTTGAGTGATTTTACATTATCATATTTCATTAATACATAGTTGACTTTCAACCTTTTTACTGTATGACTCACTTGTTTCTGAAATATAATCTTTTTTTTTTTTTTTTTTTTGGCTGAAAATAGGTATGCCATTTCATTGTTGGTATAGATTTATCCCA